CCAAACCCTCAACCCTCAACCCCCAACCCTTACATCCAAAACCCTGCACCCTCAAGCCCTCAACCAGGCTTACGCCCTGAGAAGCCGGGGAACCCCGAAACCCTAAGCTCCCGGGCTCTCGTCGAAAGCCTCGTGGCAATGAGCGCAGCTCAGGCCCTGGCAGGTTTGGCAGGTTCTTTGAAGGGTAGGGTTGAGGGGTTTAGGGTCTAGAGGTTTAGTGGTTTAGGGGTTCAGAGCTTAGTGGTTTAGGGGTTTAGGTGTTTGGAGCTTAGGGGTTTAAGGCTTCGGGGTTTAGGGTCTAGGAGGTGAGTGGTTTAGGGGTTTAGGAGCTTAGGAGTTTAAGGGTTCTGGGGCTTAGGGGTTTGGAGCTGAAGCCTCGCATCCCCTAAACCCTAAACCCTAAACCCTAAACCCTAAACCCTAAACCCTAAACCCTAAACCCTAAACCCTACTTACAGCTGAGATCAACCCACATGAGGTTTTTTTGGGGGAGGCTCATGTAGGGCTTCGGGTTAAATAGCTTCGTCCTTATCGTTCAAGGTCCAAAGATAGCACGGCAAGTGAAATCAGCTAATTGGGAATTAAGTTGCTGTGGGGCCGCACCTGTTGGATCATACCCGGGGAATGTGCACTTGTAGTTTCAGCTCTTGTCCCCGTCCCAAATCTTCAGGGTTAGGGTTTAGTGTATACCCAAGGCGCCCAAAGCCCTCTTAACTAGGAATATACCTCACATCATACCCTGGATCCCTATATGGTCTGAGGTATATTCCCCTAAACAGTCAGCCCCAAACCCTGAGCCCTTCATTAAGGGCTTGTAGGCTGTCAGTGTATGAATTTTTACGGCTCAAGTATGAGAGATTTCCTGCCAGGATCTGAAACTGCGCCGGCCAGCAACATCCACGCCTCAATCTAAGAGTTCAGTGTTTAGGGCTCAGGGTCCCTAAACCCTAAACCCTAAACCCACACAAGTGCCGCGCCTGGAGCTTCTGACAAAGCAGGCGGTAGAGCTCGCCGAGCTCCTGGTGACGGACATGGCTTTCAATGCAACTTGACCCAAGATGTCATAGGGTTTAGGGTTTAGGGTTTAGGGTTTAAGGTTTCGGATTTAAGGTTTCGGGTTTAGGGTTTCGGGTTTAGGGTTTCGGTTTTCGGGTTTCGGGTTTAGGGTTTACGGTGGCCCAAGAGGAAGCTAGGACGAAAAAGGTCGCCCTTTTTGGTTGACAGGGGTTTTTCAGGGAACCCAAAAAAGGGTCCCTAAACCCTAAACCCTAAACCCTAAACCCTAAACCCTAAACCCTGAAAGAGGGGGCTAAGGCTCCTCTGCATCATCCTTGTCACAGCGCAGCGACAGCAGGCAAGACAAGGTCCTGGTCATGCACACCCGCCCCCCAAGTCCCGTACCAAATTGGGGGGTTTGGGGTTTAGGGTTTAGGGTTTAGGGTCCGCCGACCCTGGCGGCGTGTTGGATGGGTTTCTGGAGGTGAAAACCTCCCTCTTTCCCTCCTGACTGGTAGGGGGGGGTACCCCGGCAGCTTTTCCGTGGAAGAACAGGCCACCCACACCGCGTACACTGTTGGACCGCGTAAACTGATGGACATAGGCCGTTTCGCCTACCCCCCCCCCCCCCCCCCCCCCCCCCCCCCCCCCCCCCCCCTACCCCCGCCCCCTCCGCCCGCCCAGGCAGCTTCTCGCCAGGAGACCCCAACCGCAAACCCAATCCACCAAACCCCAAACCTTAAACTTGTTCTCCTGCGGAGTCGGCGGCTTGAGCCGGAGGCTCTTAAATTTAGGGTTGAGGGTTTAGGGTTTAGGGCTACGACTTGGAGGTTCATGTGTAGTTCTAAGTCAGGGTATAAGTACCCTGGATGGGTTAGTTAAATGTAAAAACTACCATACTTAGTTGCCCTACTTATAACTGCCCATGAACCTCCAAGCAGCGTCATAGGGCAGTCACTTCACATGTTGAGGTCGAGCCTTGATGCCTCTCTTAGGGTTTAGGGCTGAGGGTTTAGGGTTCAGGGTCTAGGGTTGAGGGTTGAGGGTTTAGGGTTTAGGGTTCAGGGTTCAGGGTTCAGGGTTCAGGGTTCAGGGTTCAGGGTTCAGGGTTCAGGGTTTAGGGTTTAGGGTTTAGGGTTTAGGGTTTAGGGTTTAGGGTTTAGGGTTTAGGGTTTAGGGTTTAGGGTTTAGGGTTTGGGGTTTAGGGTTTAGGGTGAGGGTTTAGGGTTTAGGGTTTAGGGTTTAGGGTTTAGGGTTTAGGGTTTAGGGTTTAGGGTTTAGGGTTCAGGATTTAGGGTTTAGGGTTTAGGGTTTAGGGTTTAGGGTTTAGGGCTCGGGCGCTACACCCTAAGCCCCCAAAAATACCGGAAAGCCCTTCCTGGCATCCGGCAGGCGGAAGTCGCCGTCAAAGCTCGAGGCCTCCGGGGGCCTTCAAGAGGGGAGTTCTTGGGATTCTAGGGGTTTAGAACTTGAGGTCTTAGGGTTTAGGGTTTAGGACTTGAGGGTTTAGGGGGTTTGGGGGTGTAGGCTTCAGGAGTCTAGTGTTCGGGGTTTAGGGTCTAGGTTTCTTGGAGGCCTTTGGTTTTTTTCTTTTTTTTTTTTTTTTTGGGGGGGGGGGGGGGTTTTGGAGTTTCGAGTTTTTAGGGCTTATGGGTTTGGGGGCTTCGGGGCTACTCGCAGCAGCCGCATGCCAAGGGGCCTTCCCGTCTCCAGCATCATGGCCACCTGCAGCCGGGTGGAGGCCGCTCTCTTCGTCAACCAAACCCCTACATACCCAAACCCCTGAAAACACCTCCTCCCCCCCCCCAAAAAAAAATAGAAAACAATAATAATAATAATACAAACAGTAGTCATCATCATAAAAAATAGCAGTAATAATAATAATAATGATAATTATTATTATCATAATAATGATGATAATGGTAAGGAAGAAAGTAAGACTCAAGACTGAACCCACGTACACCCTGAATCTTTACGGAGGGGGCCCAACACAAGTGAACTAGGCTCAACTTTATGGGTTCCTCACAATGACATGAATCGAGGTCAGAATGAAGAACCCCAGTTCTTGAGCCCTTAACCCATAAACCCAGCCCTACATCCCTCGAACTCTCCTACACCACTATATAAACCCCAAAACCCTAAAACCCTAAAGCCCCGAAACCCTAAAAACAAACCAAAAAACAAATAAACCTGAGTCTTGAAAAAGACCAAAAACTTAACTAAACCCTAAACTCTAAGTCGAAAAAACACTAGACCCTAAACTCAAAACTTGAGGAAAAACATGCAAGAAAAAAACACAATAACATTAAGAATAACAAAGATATATATATATATATACAAAATGTGTATATGTATATATATATATATATGTATGTGTGTGTGTAAAAGCAAAGAGGGCTTCCAGGGCGGCGGCCCTGACGGCGGAGACCCGGAAGTCGGCCGTGAGCAGCTCGAACTCCCCCAGGTCCGGGATCCTGGCGCCGGGACTTGCTTTAGGGGTTTAGGGGTTTAGGGTTTAGGGTTTGGGGGTTTCGGGGTTTAGGGGTTTTGGGGGTTTAGGGGTTTAGGGGTTTAGGGTTTGGGGGTTTAGGGGTTTGGGGGGGTTTAGGGGTTTAGGGGTTTAGGGGTTTAGGGGTTTAGGGTTTAGGGTTTAGGGGTTTAGGGTTTAGGGTTTTTTAGGGTTTAGGGGTTTAGGGTTTAGGGGTTTAGGGTTTTAGGGTTTGGGGTTTAGGGGTTTAGGGTTTGGGTTTAGGGGTTTGGGGGTTTAGGGGTTTAGGGGTTTGGGGGTTTAGGGGCTTAGGGGTTTAGGGGTTTGGGGGTTTGGGGTTTAGGGGTCTAGGGGTTTAGGGGTTTAGGGGTTTGGGGGTTTAGGGGTTTAGGGGTTTAGGGGTTTAGGGGTTTAGGGGTTTCGGGGTTTAGGGCCTAGGGCTTTAGGGGCTTTGTGGGCTTAAGGTTTAGGGTTTAGGGCTTGGGGTTCGGAGTGTAGAGTTCAGGGTTTAGGGTCTAGGGCTTGGAGTTTTGCACAACTTCGTCACTGTTTTGAACGGGTTTTTTGGGGTTTGCTTGGGGGGCTCTTTTCGAGCGTGAGGACATTTTGTGGTTTGAAGTAAGAGGGGCGGCTTACATGTTTGGAGTTCGAGGGTTTGAGGGTGTGAGGGTCGGCTCGAGAGGCCTCAAGATTTGAGGATTCAGGGGCCTTGAGGGCTTGAGGGTGAGGGCTGCGGTTGAGGGGCTACTCCTTGTAAACCCTAAACTCCTGAAAACATCATGAAAAATGTACCCATTCTCGTTAGCCGGCCCTGAATTGGAGTGTCAAGCAGTCTTTCCATGAGGACCCTCGCCCTAAACCCTAAACCCCTAAACCCTAAACTACGAAGGTAACCTCCCTGCAAGAGTCAGCCAGCGCCGCATCGTCCGAAGGCGACGCCAGGCATCGTGCAGGCGCATGTCCATCTGCAGGCAGCAACCCCTAAAAACCCTTCTGGACGGTTCTCTAAAGTAGGGTCCTTCGGGGGTTCCTTTTCTAAAAAGGTGCCGTACTGTATATGGGACCCAACATGGGACACCTTTCCAGAGAACTATAAACCCTAGTAGAAAACCTAAGTCTATAAACCCTACAGAAGCACCACGTCTTGGCACAGCGATGCCTGATACATTTTTTCTGTTCAGCCAGCTCCTTTTACCTCCTGCTTCTCGTTTCTCTCGTATGACGAACACTCCGTGCATCGCTGCACAGGCACAAGCCCAGGACAGGACAGAAGTCTGCCGGGCACCATGCTTGAGTAGTCTCTGCGATCTAGGGAACCAGGGCACTCCGCTTGCCTCCTCCTCCTCTGGTTCCAACAGCAGTCACCACATCGCTGCACAGCTGCTCGCTGGCTCCAGTCTTGCGACAGCATGTGCTCTACATCTCTACATATCTGAAAGCCAGCAGAGAGGACAGTGTTTCCAAGCTTGTGGGAACACCTCGGAAGTTGCGAAACCGCTGCCCAGAGTTCCAGTCGTCAGATAGCTGCAGGGGCATCGTAGGCCCAGCAAACCAGAGTTTGGCGCATGCCCGTCTCAACGGGCGCAACCTCAGCTGAAGGTACCCAAAGAGTCTGAAACCCTTTTGTTAAGGAACACGCCTGGAATCATACTAAGGATCCCGATAAGGATTGAGGTATCTTCCTTAACGAATGGGTATTAAGGGTCTCGGTGGGCAAAGTCAAACTTCCGAGCTGTGTTTTAGCACTTCTTGTCTGCGCTTCGCCCTTGCCTTCCCTACCTGCAGCACGCGATACCCACTGCAACGTTAAGGGTTTAGGGTTTTCGGGCTTCGGGTTTAGTTTAGGGTGTAATTAGGGTGATCGAAAACGATCACCTGATGCAGATCTGAGGGGCTCGGTGCTCCACCGTCTCCGCGGGGAAGATGATGGCGTCGCCCGCGCAGAGCCTCCCCAAAACCCTAAGTCTTAAGCCCCAACTCCAATACCCCTTAATGAAGGAATATTCCTTGAAATATACGAGGGCTCCTTTATGGTTTAAGGGATATATATGCCTCATTCAAGGGGTATTGGAGTCTCTGGGACCCCTCCCCCCCCCCCCCCCCCTCTCAACCTTGAACCCCGAAAGAAAACCAAGCCCCCAGTCCATGTCCAAGCCCCAAAGTCCCTAAAGCCCCTGTAGCCCCACCCCCCCCCCCAACAAAAAAAAAAAACTAGTACAATAACAATGATAACAATACTAAAAATACTAATTCTAAGAATAAGAAGAAGAACAACAATAACAAGAAGAATGATAATCATCATAATCATCAGGATAGACCTGCAAGCCCGGGAGCCCAAACAATCCCCTAAGCCTTGGCCGAGCAGTGCCCGCGAGGTTCAACTCCAACTCACCTCGACGCACGGGGGTTTCCGAAGTTGGGGAAATTGGGGGATTAGGGTTCAGGGTTTAGGGTTTAGGGTTTAGGGTTTAGGGTTTAGGGTTTAGGGTTTAGGGTTTACGGTTTCCGAAGTTGGGGGAAGCCCTCTTGGGGCTCCTTTTTATAAAGGGGTGCCGCAAAGCTCACTAGGGATCCCTAAATAGTTTAAGGTATATTTCCTCAGTTAAGGAATATGGGGAATTCCGAAATTTAGGGACCCCTACTAATACCTTATTCCGGTCCTGACTATGCAGGAGGGAATCCTACTATTTGGGGGTTAGGATACCTTGCTGGGGTCCTTGTTACAAGGGGCTCCTACTACTTTGGGGGTTTATATTAGGGGTCCCCTATTTTCGTAAACCCCCACGTTGAAGCTTGGAGCGCTCATGGTAGCCCGGGAGAGCCCAAGACTTCTGTTTTGCGAGCGGTCCAAGGGGAGGGGGGGGACGGGGGGGGGGGTTAGGTGTTGTTGCATTTTTTTCATATTAATTGGGGCCCAAACCCTACACCCTACGTACACCCTAAACCCTAAACCCCCAGCACCTCCAGAGAAGTCGCCGGGCGCGGAGAGCATCAAAACCTAAGAGGGTGCACTCTAACCGGGGGCTGACGGCTTTCGGGTTATTTTGGGGCTCTTTCGGGTTCATGGTTTAGGTCTTGGGGTTTGGGGTTTAGGGCTTGGGGTTCAGGGTTTCGGGTTTCGGGTTTCCCCTCACAGAGCAATACACGATGATTGTATGTAGGGCTACCATAGATTTAACCCTAAACCCTAAACCCTAAACCCTGAACCCTGAACCCTAAACCCCAAACCCTAAACCCTAAACCCTAAACCCTGAACCCAACAACCCATGAACCTCCAAGCACTGGGGCAAGCTACCAGAGAGAGGCGGCGAGCAGGAGGTGGTGCCTCCGCAGGCTGATCCAGGTGCCAATCCTCAGAATTCTTGAGTTTAGGCTTTAGGGTTTAGGGTTTAGGGTTTAGAGTTTGGGATTTGGGGTTTAGGGTTTAGGGTTTAGGGTTCAGCAGCTCCGGGTCGAGCAACCTCTACTAGAGCCGCTGTTTCGATTCTAGAAAAAATGAACACCTACCCAGAGAATCCCAAAACATTAAGAAATACAAATATAGAGTTTATATTCGTCATCAGCAAGCCCCGTCCCCCAACCTCATTTTATTCATTCTGCTTGTATTCGTTTTCTTTCTGCTCGTTGTCATTCTGCTCGTATGCGTTTCTTTCTGCTCGTATTCATTCTGCTCGTATCCAGTTCGAGCCAATCCCCAACCCACCCTAGAACCAACTAGACATTAGTCCGGATTGACAAAAAAAAACCTAATTTTGTTAACCTCATGTTTTGTTTTCCCCCACCCCACCCTCGAACCACTAATAAGGTTCAAGCCCCTCATCTGCCCCAGAGTCAGGGTTTCGAGCCCAGAATGGGGTCTGGGCCAGAAGAGTAGGTAGGGGGTCGGGGGGGGTCAGGGGGCACAGGGCGGGGGAGGGCGCGTGGGAGGGCCAGTGGCCAAGGGTTCTTTTGCCAACGGCCACGGCTTGGCCGATTGGTGGACCCGTGGCCATTGGCAAAAAACCCGTGGCCATTGGCAAAAAAAACCGTGGCCATCAAAAAAGTCATGGCTATTGGCAACCACGGATTTTTCGCCAATGGCCACGGGTTTTGGCCGATTGGTGGACTCGTGGCCATTGGCGAAAAATTGGCCAAACAACCGAGACCATTGGCAAAAAAGCCGTGGCCATTGGCAAAGTTGCCACTGGCCGCGGGTTTTTTGCCAATGGCCACGTTCCCCAAAAAGGTTGGGGGGGTATTTTGTGCGAATTGGGTGCGAAAAACCCATTTTGACGACCACCCTTAATGACATTGGTGGCCCTTGGCAAAAGAGCCGTGGCCATTGGCAACTTTCCTGGGCAGTTGGGCTCGGAGGGCAAATACAGAGGAGCACCAAATCCTACCAGTAATCAAGGAAGACGCCTTGTCATCCCCCATAGGGTTTAGGGTTTAGGGCTTGGGGTTTAGGGACCTCAGCTCCACTTCCTTCCTGAAGGGCTTCAGGAAACTTTAGGGTTTAGGGTTTAGGGTTTAGGGTTTAGGGTTTAGGGTTTAGGGTTTAGGGTTTAGGGTTTAGGGTTTAGGGTTTAGACCTGAACAGCGAAGACCTTGTCAGCTGAGGCCCGCGCGAAGTGGTCTTCAGGGCCATAGACGCAGTATTGCGCGTGCTCCAGCATGTCCTGGTTCCACAAGGGTTTAGGGTTTAGGGTTTAGGGTTTAGGGTTTAGGGTTTAGGGTTTAGGGTTTAGGGTTTAGGGTTTAGGGTTTAGGGTTTAGGGTTTAGGGTTTAGGGTTTAGGGTACAAGGATCTGCTCATGGAAAAAACCGTCCAGACTCTCAAAGCTCCCTACCCTTAACCCGAGGCAGGGTGCTCCGAAGCCCCAGCACGCCCTCGAAAGAAAGATGATGATGTAGAGAAATGCCGTCTGTGATTTGTGCAAGAACGCTCGGAACTCTTCAATCCTATCGTTACGAATCCGGAGAAGCAGCATTCCTCAATCAAGAGCCTTCCTGGCATTGAGACCCTAAACCCTAAGCCCTAAACCCTCAACCCTCAACCCTAAACTCTAAACCCCCCTAAACCCTAAATCCTCAACCCTAAACCTTAAACCCTAAACCCTCAACCCTCAAGCCTCAAACCCTGAACCGAACCCTGCCCACCAGCTCTGCGAGCTGCCACTGGCCGCGCACGGCCTCGAAGAGGCCCAGGAGGTGCTCCTCACGAGGCGTCAGGGCCCAAAAGGGTTTAGGGTTTAGGGTTTAGGGTTTAGGGTTTAGGGTTTAGGGTTTAGGGTTTCGGGTTTAGGGCTAGGGTTTAGGGGCCCAGTATGCCTTGATGATGGAATAACCCTTAAATCATGCACAGGATCCACGTACGGTTTAACGTATGCTCCTTGACTAAGGGATATCTGAAGAAAGGAAGGATTAAGACTTTAAGGCGACGCGAGCGACCGTAATGATAAGCATGACGACAATGACAAGTCAGAATGCTAAAGACGATAATGACGAAACTGACAATAATGATACTTCTAGTACCACTACCAGTAATAAGAATAAGAACAAGAGCAAGAATAAGAATAAGAATAAGAATAAGAATAAGAATAAGAAGAAGAAGAAAAAGAATAAGAATAAGAATAAAAATAAGAATAAGAAGGGAGAAGAAGAACAAGACAATTACGCACGCATTCACACACACACTTACTTACTTCGAGTGCCCAACACAACGTGGGGTCGCAGCGCTCCTCAAGCCACGGCACCTCCCGGACCTTCAGCATGTCATTATTTCATTTCTTACGGGAATGGGTTAAAATCCCGGTGGCTTGGCTCTTCGCGTTCAGGGTTTAAGTTTTTGCGGGTTAGGGTTTGGCGTTTAGTGGTCAGCAAATCACCCAGACACAGGTACCCAACTATGACAACCAAATTGGCAGAACCATCTTTTTAACGTGGGGGTGGGAACCAGTATCATTAAGAATTCTTGAATACTCTCGAGTCGCAACTGTCATATGCCGTGCAGTATAGTACGGTTGCTGTAGACTTGCACTGAGAAACAAATTTCACACATCACCTGGGTCGAAGACATGAGCACTTGGAGGTGAAGGAGTAGTTGCAAGTTATAATAGGGGATAGGATTAGGGGGACCCTTGGGGATATAGACCCTCTGAATAAGGTCCCTGTTTAAGAGAGCCAGAAGAGGGTTAAGAAGGGGTTCCCCTCTAAGGGTCCCCTTATCCTACCTAGGATATAAGTATGGTAATGATACTTGCAACCATATTTAGGGCCCCCTAGACCCTAAACCCTAGACTCCAAACCCTAAACCCCAATCCCCAAGACCTAAACCCCAAACACAAACACTTCTTATACCTACCCGGTTAACGCGCTGCATTTTCCCTGGGCACGGGCTCTGCGCGACACGTCGTTCGTACTGGCAGGCGTACGGAGCTGAAAAGCTGCTTCTAGGGGGTTCCACAAACGATTCTTTTTTTGGGACAGCATGGTTGGGAGCATTCAGTGAAGCTATTCTTTTGGGGACAGCATGTTTGGGATGCTTAGTGCAAGGTAGATGCTTGTGACAGATTTTCTTGTTCGACATCCTTGTGCAATATTTTGTACAAAGAGACGAAAACGCTGTGTTTACCAGTGATTTGGGCATAAAACGCTGTGTAAATACCAGTGTTTTGGGCATGGTCGCGAAAGGCATGGACGCTCGTGACAGATTTGTTTGTTCCACATCCTTGCGCAGTATGCTGTCCAAAGAGGCGAAAACGCTGTAAATGCCTGTGTTTTGGGCATGGACGCAATATGAATGACGTTCTTTTCCCCCCCCCCCCCCCCCGCCCCCCCCAGCAAACCGAAGGAAAACCGGAAAGAATCGAAGGAAAACGTTTAAAAAAACAAGGAACGATCAGGGAATTCACAGCGAGTTGGCCAACTACCAAAGTGAACCTCCGAGTAGGATGCTGGGGGGCCGGCATCCAAAAAAGCACCCAGCGTCGAGCGATCGCTCGAGACCGCCTCGTCCTCACGGCTTTGCCCAAGGAGCCCGATACCCCTTACCTAAGGAATGGAGTTTAGGGTTTAGGTTTGAGGGTTGAGGGTTGAGGGTTAAGGGTTGAGGGTTGAGGGTCTAGGGCCCAATACCGTTTAATTGGTAAGCAATATACCTTAAATTCATACTGAGTTAGTTAAGTGGTGTTGGGCGCCCTTTGGGTGGGCTGCGCTTCGACAAAGCCCCTTCCAAAAGCTTCACCAACTGGCGGAAGTTCGGGCCCACCAGCTTCTGTAGCTGGTCGCTGTGCGAGCTCGGTCGAAGTCTCAAAGAAAAATTGACGAGGCTTAGGAGTTTGAGGGACCAACTGCTGCGGTTGGATCGCTGGCACTGTGTCATGCCGAACAGCAAGTTGTTCTACACGCTGTATGGGGATCCTTCTTATGAGTGACACTAAGGTCTCAGTTCAACTCAAACCACAGGAAAGGAGCAACTATTCATTGTAGATGGGCCGAAGAGCCTAATGCCCCTTCTATAAGGAACATGCCTCAAAATGCGTGAGGTCGGGTAGTTGCTTGCACTACGCTTTGGCTCCTCACCAGCCAAATGGTCTCGCACTTGTTTTCTGCACTGATGTTCGCCTTCAGTCTCCGTCTCGTGCACCCGGGCGGTTTCCAGTTACGCTATTGCGCTTACTTCCAACCTATGGGTGACCTTCACTCTAGGGCTTACTTGAATCTTGAGCCAACATGGTGAACAGGCCACGGCGTTCTAAGGTGGTTTCCCCGATGTGCGGCGGAGCCGACACAAAGGGGTCCCCAAAACGTGCTGTGGTTCGGGGATCATTCACACCCCCCACGGCTGGGATTTGCAAAAATGCTAGACGAACTTGCGTCACGAACATACAATGGTCCCATTTAAAAGCGACTTAAAGTCTGGCCGTTCTCCACTGTTTTGCTTTATTTGCCCGAATTGATAGATGTGAGACAGACTCTCAGCTACTGAAGCGTTCAATCCCATCCCTTATCTGTACAAAGACTTGCTGCTCACGGTTGCGGAATCATGGGCGCGAAAGGCTCTGAAAACATGTCAGCAAATTGCTGATCCATCACATTGCGTCTCCAGAATGCATGACTGAAAAGCAGTAGCATCGGCCAAGTTAGCAGAGCATAACCCATACCCACTCGGCTACCACACGAGCTGCGAAGAACCGCACATTTCCCTCCAGCGAGCGCATTGGCACATTGCCCCGCTGCTGCTATGCAGTGGCCAAAAAGAGAAATAGCATCGGCGGATATAATGACGTACTCCATCGTGTCATCTATTGCATCCATAGGGAAAAGAGGAATCAAAACTGAGAACGCAAAGTGCTAAGCCACAACCATGTTTCTGGAATACCATGGATTCCAGGGGATGACATACCGGAGGATCCGAGTACATCATTCACCCTTTCTTTCCCGATCCCTTTCTCGAATGACCGCGAGGATCTTTGGGAGCAGCTTGAGGTGTCCCAGGATGAGAAGTCTTGGGCTTCGGCTGACTCATGCGGGCCTTCGCACGTGCCGGCATGTCCGTCTCGTCTGCTTCAGGATGACGAGATCCTCCCGACGAAGTAACCGAAGGTGCGGATGCTGAAGGGTCATAGGCAAGGTACAAAGCCGACGCCTTTGGATTCTCCAAATACTGTGTGGGCTTCAACTTCAGGATGCTCATGTCCTTCTTTTGATCACTCAACCATCTGTCCAGCTTCTTGCTGTACTGGTTGGGTAAAGCGCACCCCGAATCCCTCATCACCAGAAGGTTGTTAACGCTCACCTTCTGCGAGTCCATCAAACTGAGCAGCTGGATCGGGTTGATGTATTTGAATGCCGCGTGGTACGGGATCTCAGCGTTGGGTTTCGTGTAGGAATAAAGCCTCACGTTCAGCACCTGATAGATGATTTTGGCCATGAACATGTGGACCCTTTGCCCGGCTTCAGCAAATGCTTTCGGGTCCTCGCCCTCATCCGGAATCATGGGGAGGTTGAAGCTCTCCTTGTTGTATCCCAGCTGGATCGCCCCACGCATGACGTAGAAGACGAACTTGTTGGCGTAATAACGCTCAATCATGAACTGCTGGTTCTCCACAGAGCTGGCATACTGCCTTACCTCGTCTTCCATGAGGTCTCTCGGCAACGCCGTGTCCTCATCGATGGGGACAATTGGCCATGTCCCAGATGCGTCGTGTCTCATGCCTGAGGCGAACTGGTCCTTCATCTTCTTGTATGGAGTCATGATGATCTTCTCGAACAGATGCCATTTATGGACCAACACGTACGCAAAGAAGGCGTCGAGGTGACAGTACAACCTGAAGTTGTGGTCCACGCACGCTGCGTAGTCGGTGTCAATGTTGACATTGCATTCCAGCGCAAGGCGAGCTTTCCTCTCGTTTCGATCGTCCAACGAATCGCCTTCCCTGTCTCCCACCAGCACGAACGCTCGCTGATTCTGCGCATCCATCTCCACCTCTTCTTGGTTGGGAGCCTCCATCTCCACATCGCGGTACATGTCGCGAATCTCGTCGGGGATCTCCTCGGCCTCAGGCTCCGCCACGCTTTCCCGTGGACTGTTTGCCTCCACATCCCCTGCTGGATTCTGCACCCCGCGGAGCGGAAGCGCATCCTCCTGAACAGGTTCTGACGGTGGCTCATCTTCCACTTCAATCTCCACAACCTCATTGTTGACGACGGCAGCGGCCTGGTTGAGCGCCTGGCGAACCACTTCCGGATCAATCCTTTCGGGTTCCGGATTGGCACGCACATGCTGGATCCTCCCCATGGACAGGAAAACTCTCCCACACGTGAGGCAAATTGCGAAGCTCGCAGGGGTATGCCTGCCGCAGCAGGGGCAAACCCTCAAAATCAGCGGATCGCTTGTGGTGGTGTGAGTCGTCACACGCCGGAATGTCCTTGAGAGAAACTGGAAAGCACGCTTGATGATGTTTCCAGGAACGGTGTCGCCCGCCTGCTCAATTGCTTGCAAGATCTCGCGCCTCTCGCCTTCATGCGGGCCAGCGTCGGTGCCTTCCATGGTGCTGACGAGGTCTTCCACCGAAGGTTTTGGTGGTTCACGATCTGGATTGATGCGTGCGTCCCCGTACCCTTCGACCATCTCCTTGGACAGCTCTTTAGAGTACACCTTGAAGACTTCGCTGAACTCGAAGTACCTTCCTTGGCTTGGCATGCAGATCCAAACGTGCTTGACGGCCTCGAATGGAATTTGCCGCTGGACGAGAAACATTCCATTGATCGTGATCACTGCGTTGTAGCGCATGAGTTCATAGGCTGGAACGTACAATACTGCAATTGGTGACCTCGGCCTTCCGGGAATCCTTGTTCTCACCGTCTGATTTCTCGGATCCCATGGCGGGAACGTCCCGAAATGGCTGTGGACTCGACCGCCTGACGCCCCTCCACCTGGAAGAAGTCCTTTCGCCACGATG